GCAATGGATGAATGAATGACCTAAAAGAAAGCCAACGACGGTACTGAGGTAGCCAGTGCCGGACCCGATGTTCAGGAATGAATTCCCCTTCGCAATGTGTAAATGATCGAGTACATTCGCGTAAATGCACGGTGCAGATATATGCAAACGGCCCGGATCACCTTGCTCGCTTTTCCATGCCACATCGCGATACGCCATGTGACGAGCATCTGCTGGAAAGAACCGTCCACGATCCACTAACCTTAAATTGATTTTCACAACTCATCACCAAATCCTTTCGCTATTTTTACGTTGAAAAAGGTGCCTGCAATAAGAAATAAAATATTCAACATTTCATCGAGTCAAACGATAATTAATTAAAACGTCCAACAATCACCTCAAAACACGTTCAACCTCATCGTCGTGTATAAGATCTGATTCCTTGAGTTTATCGACCAATTCATAATTATTACGTCCCGTACTTGCCGCTAATCCCATCACTTAAAGACGATTCTTTCAGATATTTTCATTCATTGATTATACTTTTAAAATGTTATTTTATCGACTGTGCATAATGAGCAATTAAAATGCCAACATTTATAATACCTAAGCTGTTCATTCGTATCAATAAGACATACTCAAACATAAGTGTTGTCAAGCAAAGAAAAACATGAATGAGAACAATTTGCGATTGAAAAAATTCGACGAAACAATATTGATACGGTCTATGCCGTCGTGTCCGAACGCTTTAGTTTCTGGGTTTGGGTTCGGATCGGATCACTGCAATCACTTCTTTATTTTGCATTTTCTGAATCTCAGTTATGCACGCCTCACCAGAACGATACCATCCACGTTCAGCCTACCGGGCCGTTCCTTTAGCCAATCAACCACGCGAACGGAAAGCGTCTTTCACGAAAAAGTCTTCGGTTTCTTTTTTCGCTCCAATATTGTCATACGTTTTTTTTTTCACGGCAAGTTCTCATACGGAAGGTGATACAGTCAAATCGTCCGCAATAATTCACAGCGGTACCACCTTATATATTTCTCAAAACTGTTGTGCATAATGAACATTCTTCGAAGTGTGGCCATCATTTTTTCCGGGATAATGGGAAGGAAAATTGATCCGAACCTAAGTTTTCGGGGGGTTTTTGTGGCTTTTATTTATTCCATTTCCCCACTTTCCCTCCTTCCTCTCTCCTTACGTTCCACTCATACCTTCACGCCCTCACCTCCACCCATGCCCGAAGCAACTGTCGATTGGTCACGCGGCCTTCTTCAATTCTCATCTGTTCCATTCGCGGTACAAATTTCTTGTGAAACCATTTCTTAGAAAAATTCATCTATGCGTTCCTCTCATTCCACTCAATGACGGCAAACTCATCAAAATCAATATTTTAGAGACTTTTCCATTTCTCTTCGCAGTCATTACTTGATGGTTCCAATATGAGAGGGTAAGTAGACTGTAAAAGTGCTTAAGAAAATGCGAAATGAAGCAGATCCGATGTTTCTTAAAAGTTCGAGGCCGAATAAAACGAAATATGAAATTTGAAAGATTATAAGTCGATGAAAGAAATGTTGAACAACAAATAATTGTTTCGCAAATGAAAATGCTTATCATTACGACATAAATCAAAAACAATGAATCATCTATTAATATGAAATTTTATGATCGCTTGTTGGCATTAAGTGGACACAATGAGAAATAGCAAATAAGAATGCTGGCCACAAATCCATGCAGCAAACATCATAGAGCGAGAAATAAGCAACGCAACGCTAACATTATTATCAACAATACAAGAACAAAAGTACCAGTAATTTTACTCGGAACACAACCAAACAAGAATCGTGAGCTACGGTGACTAGAAAGAAAGGCACGAATTTAGATAACACAATCAAAAAGAGCAATTAAAATTCAACTAAAACATCATCAATAAACAAAAAGCTGTTTTTTATCAGATGAAGTAACTGCGTCAGTGATTGCCTTTTTCCAGTCATCCAAACTAACTTTTTGGAAATGCGGAGTCTTGAATCGACCACTTCTCACCAACTCGTTCAGTTCTTTGAACATATTCTCACGTTCCTGCAAATTCAACTATTCGAAAGTAAAAGCTCAAATGTACATTCAAAAGTGCAGCAAAAATAAATGTAATGAAAATGCAAAATAAATATACTGGAGGCGTTGCAAACTTTCGCAAAGCAATGCAAAGTAAAACTAAGAGGAAGTGCTGACTGGTTTATTTTCAGGATACGTGTACCAACGTGACATCCAGAAACCAACGAGCTGAATATCCTTGAATATAAACGGACCAGTTGGTACCTGTGAATGCATTGATTTGTGCGAAGTACGCTCACTGGACGATCATAAACACAATTATGATTCGATGCGTAATGTTCGAATACATAAATGAGACAGACACATCTACCTGGATCGGTTGCTTGCTCATACCTCCATAAGTCACCATAACACCCTTATTAGCGAGACAACTTGCAAGCATTAACGCATTCTTACCACCCACACAGTTCAGCGCTAACCTCGCGTTTTTGGCCTGCAAACTTCTGTAAAATTATATCTTTTGAACAATATTACTCTAAACGAAAAATGTCATAATTTGTATAGAAAAATCCAGAGCGAACAAAGAGTATACACAATTTTAAAAATAATCGGTCCAAATAACAATTATTCTAAAATTACAATTACCGAATAATATCGCGACCTTTTCTAAAAAGCATTAAATTTTTCGAAATCATAATAGCAGTTTCTGCTCACCTGGTACACAAATTGAACTCAATTTCACGAACAAAGCAGTCGGATGCAAAAAAAGTTATCGACGAAATGAATACCAATAAATGAGCAAAAAGTAGTGATAAAAATATTCTGTGAATAAAAACGCACCTTTCCTCTAATTTCCTTCTTCATTTCCTCTTCCGTAAATACTTCATCTGCACCCAATGATTTTAACTCATCGATCAATTCGTTGACGTTTGAACGATTTCGAATCACATTCACCGTTCGTAAAGCTTTCGCATGAGCAATCTCAATACAATTATAATGCCTGGTTTTCAAGTATACTTTTAATTTCCATTGAATATTTTTCATGACGATTCTTCAAAAATCAAATAATTTTTTAAAAGCTAATAGGTGAGGAACTGACCTGAATTACGGCTCTGCCAACAGCAGAATTGGCACCATTCTGAACAACCAAATCACCTGGTTTGAGATCAACAAAATCTTTCAGCATTCGGTATGCTGTTGGCGGATTGACCTAAAATACATAATGAACGTTATCAATGATGAACGTCATGGTAACTTGCTGACTCCAAAATTTCGCTCTATATAAAGATTTTGATACATTAATTTAGCATATTCCATTGCGAATCACTTCAAAGAACCTACACCATATTGATACTGATGCTTTTTTCACATTAGAAAATGATGTCGAAAAGAAAACTTCACTTGGAAAGAAGCCGCTTCCTCGATGGACAAATTTTTATCGATCTTTGCAACGTCTTCATCCTTATAAACACCACGTGTACGCCAACATCCTAACCCGGAATGCGCCGCCACAACCCAATCTCCAACTTCAACTTCTTTAACACTACTTCCAACCTTAATAAACTTTTGCTTCTTTGCGTACTAGATTATCCAACGTTCAAAACATGACTGTTATGAAACATTAATGTCCCGCCAATAAACTAATAATACTGTGTGTTGGAAAAAAATGAGAATGACATTTTTCGAAAACGTTTTATAAACCGAATCCGGGAAAGAACATCTTTTTCACCACTATGCACAGTTTTTTGCAAAGTGTGGAAAACAGCCGGAAGGCGAGAAGTTGATTGCATGAAAGTGGAGCTTTCAGTCTATCGGTTATATGCAAACTGAAGAATGTATCGAGTACAGAATCGCATTCAATCGATCACCCACTAACAACTACATATCGAACTGCACTTTCACAGAACATTAAAAAATGTGCACTTTGAGAACGTGCAACGAGCAATTAAGAGAGTGGTGGTAGACGGATGTGAGAGGGTTGAGTGTGAAACAGAGATCAAGAGCAGGCGATTTTTTCATTAGACGCAAAGAGGACTTGTTAATTAGAGCTTCTAGAGACGTTTCTTGAAATAGACCAAGATGATGGGTGGATGTTACCATCTTCATGTCATTGCTACCTTCGAACAATAAGAAGGCTAAAAATCAGAACATCTCAATACAAGTGGAAGATTTACGAATCGTTTGCAAAAAAAGAAATTGTTGGAAGGAGTGAAAAAATGTTCATTTCCGGATTGCACAAAAACTACTTCAGAAAACAACAACCACATCATCGCAGAATTTTTTTCACCCCAATATTCCTTTTGCCATAGAATGACAGTTTAAAAAAGATGTCAATTGTAAAGAAATATTATTAAGTTGAACGTACCGCTTCCACTTCTCCGAAACCTTCACTTCCACCAACTGCCGGTAATTGAGGTTTAATTGGATATGTGCCTTGCACTTGATTTATATCTGCTGGATTTATGGTTGCTGCCAACCACCTTATCCTTACTTCGTTAGCTTCAACTTTCCCAGGAATTTCAACATCTTTCAATTCGAGAACCTGCAATTGAACCATAACTCCTCAAATGATCAATTCAAGATGTTCGAAAAAGTTAGACGTTTATTATTCACGATTAACTAACCTTCAAAGGATCACCGTACTTATCGTACATTAATTGTCTGGATGTGATGCATCGCCGTGATAACCTCGTTAACGAACCATTAAAAAATCGCAAAGTTGTACCAAGCATGTTTCTAGCAAAAATACATCATTGCAAAAGTCTGTTAAAATGCCACATGCGATATGATATAAAAACAAATAAAATAAAATAAATACATGTGAAATAAATCAAACTTCAAAACAATGTTTTAGCCACCACTTCAGATTGTGGTACAAAAATAAACAAAACATTTCTCGATTGATAAGCAATTTTCGATTGCTTTACGATGCAACATTCGATAATGACGAACATGTGACAGCGACTAACAGTCTTCAATTGTGCTTTATTAAAACAAAAATGTGATAATGAACAATGCCTTTTGATGAATACAATACACGTTACTAAGAACTGTTATTATTGTTTTTGGAATAAGTTCTTCTGAATAAAACCTTTCGAGACACAACGACTTTCAAGTGATAACAAGTACCAACGATGACAATTCAAAACCGCTAAACTTATCGAACAAACACTTTAAAACAACAAAGTCATGAATACAGAACAAATCAGTAAACAACACAACACGAAACAAAATAACACAATATCATACAACAGAAACGCTCAACGAAATTCCAATGTCTCTTATGAAAGAAAAACTTTCATTAACAACTAATTAACTTTTCATTAAAGCAATAACCAATCATTTAGAAGGATCAATTCTGAAATGATTTTACTGTGTTTAAATAAATTTGCGATGCTCAGTTTCACATACACATTTGCTAGTGTCGTTTGCTATTTTCTTTACGCACTCATAATTTAAATAACAACAATACTGAATATTCGTGTTCCATAATCTATTCAAGTAAACAACACTACATTTTTTCCTTTGAACATAGCTGTTTACAAATCTTACTCTCCTGATTCGGTGCAAACACCGAAGAGATTTCACAGATTCGCATGTACTTTACTTGAATGAGCAGGATCCGAGATGGCTTCCTTGACGGAAGAGACTGCTTATTTATAGTACTAAAGTTAAGCAAAAACAAAGGATCATAGCTAATTAATATTCGGGTTTGCTGATAGATCAACGTAAAAACAACGTATTTGCAATTGATATCAGATTTAAACAGTCATCATAACACACGGTGCCAAAGGAATACGAACACTTTCTTGAATACTTGGATAATCAACCAAATACTCAGTTAACAATCTCGGTTTGTGACCAATTTGGGTTACGATCAAACTTTTGCAACCAATCGACTGTCTATGACATTATTCAGCAACTGTCATTTATTCATTTCATAAGCATCACTGCATTACTGAATGATTCCAAAATGCAGTAATTCTAATCAGATACTAATAAAAAACCATCTTTTCTAATCTTACCAAGCGGAAAGTTAGAAAAAGACAAACAAAAACAACTCAATGATGGCAAAAGAAAGAGACATCTTAGAATGCAGCTCATAAATCAGCTCCACAACAAAAGTTCATAATAAAACAATACTATTCACTCAGTTAGTCGGAATCTGATGAAGATGAGTCCGACGACGAAGACGAACTAACTGTTGGCCTTTTCTTCTTTTGTTCCGGTGATTTCTCGTCATTATTTCCTTCTCGTTTATCCAATTCTCTAAACAGACATAACCACATCAAATGATTTGTTCTTTGCTCGAATGCTCACTCATTATGCACTACCTATTCTTTTATACGACATAAAACTGACTTCACAAGTGTCATCACTATCGAAAATCTGCCATACTAACCACACTAAAACTTACTTCTCTTTACCGTTTTGTTTCTCGTAAGTTTTTGATGAGGCACCGCTCTGTTCGTTACTACTACCACCTCCATTTCTGGCCATCACTTTCTCTAGAAGACGTTCTCTCATTCTTGATTCTTCATTGGTTGTTGATGGTGTGACTGCATCCACTTCCATTCCTTCACCCTTAAACAACGATAAACTTTGCATCATTATCACTATGATTGCTGAGGACTAATCTGCAGACAAAACGAATACGATCTACTGCTCAACGAGTATCAACCGGGGTTTGCAAAATCCCAAGATCTTTTCAATCCCGAAATCGGGACTATCCCGGGATCAAATAATTTTTGAAATATCGAGACGGGACATG